AAAGCTGCACATAGGAGCTTTAATGACAGTTGTGTGCTCAATGGGAGGTTCATTTAAAGGTCATATAAGGAGTTTTTCATATTTATGAATGACACTGGCATTCACACTGAATTCTCTTTTATGCGATACAAAAGCAAACAAGACCACCAGATACAAAATGGACAATTTTTATATCTTTATTTTTAATGATTGAAACTGATGAAAGGGGGTAGGTGTCACCCAGGCAGCTGGAGACAGAGCCTCATTTTTACAGTGTCCACATAAAATATTCACATTTGGCTGTCAAATATCCGCAGAATGAGGTACTACTTAAGGATTTACATAAGATCAAGAAAGAAGGGGCGCCAAAATTGAAGTTCCTCACAGGAGCTTTAAACAAGGAAAATCGAGACTAGAAACTAGCAAACAAAGTACAAATACATATCCATCGAAGAGAACCGGGTCATTTTTCCCTTCAAATTTCATCCAATGTGTCTCCGTGTTGCAACCAATGGAGTTGTCATTTGACAGCCATTAGGAGGAATACATCTTTAAGGCCCCTCTGAGAAGTGTGGCCGATCAAAACTGATACAAGATCCACTTTCTGTGAGAGTCGTTTCGGATACCAGCATGTGTGCACTTCCTTTACACTCTCACTGGCTGTTTTCTGTTGCATTCAGTGCAGAGCGCCAAGTCAGAATTCTGTTGCAGGAAGTGGTTGTGGTGTCAGAGTGATGCCAGCCAACTGTGTAGTATTATGTTACCTGCACTGACCTCCGGTATGATGTGAACACAAAAGACACTCCTGATTGTCCTGGCAGGGTCTCCGTAACCTCCCATGAAACGCAGACTGTGCCCACGCTGCTCTGAGACCGCAAACAACATTGATAAGCTCCATCTGAGCTGCAGGAAATACAGCATACTGCATTATATGAAATTTCCTTTTACAGTCCAGAATCAGTATAGATTCAGTCTTTGAGGGGATTTTTTCTTCTCCTCTGCACATTCTGTGTTTCACAGAAGAAGCTGTGCATTTCCAAGTTCTTTGCCATCTGTGTGAATGTGATACCTCTCCTTAGTACAATGAACTGGAAATGGAAGCTGTGTTTCACATAATCCCCAAATCCATCCAACTCTCACATCCTATCATGCAAATTTGGTGCAGTTTGAGGAGAATCCGGTCTCCCAACCATATGCCTGAGCCGTGTAAAAGATACAACAATTTATTATGCATGCATTGCACCAGGCTTATGGTAATAAGGTATTAAATTAGTGCTGGACATTATTGCTCTTCTATATCACTTCTGCTCAAAAGATTTTCATATAAGTCACATAAAACAGAAAAAGGAATGAGATTTTAGAGGTGATTTGCTGGAAAGCCATATCTGCGATTTATTTCGAATAACATTTGACCATTCGGATCCTTTCTGCTGAAGCCTTTAAAACAGACCTGTGCTGGATTAGGCCACTCTTATGTTTAGTTTTCACATCACACATGAAGAAGTGAGCTACAATTGACTTTCATACTTGTCAGTTAAGGTCCTGAAATCATGTTTGTATCCACATGACTTAAAATCAGATTTAAGGTGAGCACAGACAGAAGGAACACAGCCTTCGACTGTCAAACTCGGCATATGAATCATTCTGCACAGTGGAGCTCAAACATCCAAGTGAGGGACGATAAAAAACATGTTAGAGGAAAAGACAGGAACCATATACATGTATTCAAGTCCTGGCACTTTTTTCCTCTTAAATTATGATTTTAAAACTTGATTCTGATTGGTCGAAGCCCCCTCAAAAGTGACACCCAGGATAACCTGATTGTTCATGTCATTTTATATCAATCTGTGCAAAAAACTTCTAGTACATTTCACCTTTGCTTGTTGACACTGTGACAAAAATGTTAGTTTCACCTCTTAGACAAATCATGCCAGTCCTACTCATGGGGCACTTACTGGTAAGAAGTAACTCAAACCACAAGGGGTAGTGGGAGTAAAAGGCCTGTTGACACATTTGAGTTGAAATATCATCTTAAATATTTCTGCAGAAGTCTCATTCACCTTGTCTAATAGAGGTCAAATTAATGCAAACTCTAACAAATAAGCAGACTTAAGTTTTCCCCTGAACATGATTTGAAGTGATCACTTTAATGTGAATTTGTTCCTTTAAAATAGCTCATAAAAATCAGTTGAAATGAAAGTGTTTGATTCTAATTTGTATCTTCAACTGTTCATTATACATTATCCTTTAAAGGCGCGGTGAGGAGTTTTTGACTGGTTGAGAAACGGGCACTGATGCCTATTTATGACCTCCAAAAGCAAATGAAACCATCATCAAGTTCTGATCACTTAACTGTTTTCATTTGGATCTTTTTTTTTTTACTACTTAAAAGTATTTTCAGTGGTCTTTAAATTGTGATTATGAAGTTTTTAGCCTAAATCATGTCACTTGTATCATCTTCGAGAGCTTTTGTTCTACAGAGCTCCAGTAGATCCTTAGCTATTAGCCTCTGAGTTGTGGGCGGAGACAGCGCTGTTCTATACACTCCTCTTCACGCTACCTTGTAGCCTAACATTGTCATTGTCGTAGAAGTAGCAGGTAACATAGGAGCTATTCAGCTCTCGGACACTAATGTCCTTGCGGACATGATGAAAGTTAATATCAATTATTAGCTTTCTTATGAGCATTGCAATCCGCTAACGCACACGCTTGTTCCACGATCGTCCTCTCTACTTTTCCGAGTCTGGCCTGCATAGTGGGGCTTCAGAGGCGGAGCTTGGATTTATGATGTAGGAAATCTCTCTGTGTCTGAGCCTGCTGTTTGGGTCTGCCAGAGATTCACAGCGATTTGAATGCAGAAATACTCAGAAAATGCAATTTCGCACTTATTTTTCTCGTGAAATGTCCTGTAGCATTAGAAAAATGTCACATGAAAAACACGATTTTCATCAGAGTGGGTCTGTAAAATGCTTTGAAGGAGTCAGTATCAGGATAGACTGTCAACAGCAGCCTGAAAATGAAGCTTTTCTTGACATTTTTAACAGGAAATACTCACAGTGAATGAAATGTTTTATTAAATACGTTTTTTTTTTTTAAAACACGGCTTTTAGTTGGACAGGACAGTAGCTGAGAGGTGTAAATTTGTCCACAGGGGGCGCCAATATCAATACAAAGCAGTTGCTCTCCACAGCAGCTTTAACTACAATCAGGAGACTTTGACTCTCATGCTGGAAGTTATCATGAACATGTAGTTTGGTAAAATATGAGAGAAGAGCAGAGTTTATTTCTGGAGTTGATGTAAATGTTGTTTAATAAACTGTTAAAATAAAACGTCCACGAGGTCAACGTCTGGAAAACTCTCCAATTCAGAATTGGCCTTTATCTGAATACTCTCTCTCTCACAGCAGCGGCCAGAGTTCTGAAACACTTACAGTAAGTGCACAATTACATAAAAACAGCAACCCCGTGAGAGGGGGAATTTCTGCTTTATACGAGTGAGAAAACCGCGTTTAATTTCTGCTGATAAACTTGAGAAGCTGCCCTATTCGAATGTGTGGAAAAAGACATGAAGTGTGATGATTTCTTTAGGTTTCATGTTTCACCTTTAACTCTCAGTTTTTCATTGCTGGTGTGGGTGTCACCTTGTGAGGGAAAGCAAAGAAAAGAAGAAACAACAACTTGTCTCTCTCAACTGAGATGGCTAAAGATAAAGCTAACGAATGACTCTGAGCAGATTGGAGAGAGAAAAAGTCGCCGTTATTGTTCCACAAAAGTCTGCAACTCTGAATGCAGCGCACATAAGACATCAGTCATTCTTATACACAATAAAGCGTGTGAGTTTGTGTTTGTTTGTGTGTGTGCAGATCATAGTTACCTTTAATGTGCCTCTGTTTTGCTGGTGTGAAGCCACTCCCTGTGTTGTTTTATGGCATAAATGTGAGAAAACACCCTTATGCTCCCTGCTGCCTTTACAGTACCTGTTTTTTCTTTTCACATAAACACACTGGCCCCGTGGCTGTCATTTCCCATGCTACACAGCCTGTTTAAACTACTGTAATGCAACGTGTTATTACTGTTTCCATATTATACCATAATAAATGCTGCTGCAGCTAAATCACCATTAGCTGCCGGTCGCTCCTGCCGCTGCCACGCTGCCATTGTTGGTGATTTTGTTATTGCAAATTTGTAATGCATTGCCTGCAGGCTATAAATCTTATGCTGGATTACTGTGTGTAAGTCGTTTGTATGGTTTTGACTCATCAATCAGAGCTGGAATGTTTGTGTTACAACTGCCACTTTGTATGATGGATGAAGATGGGTGTTTTCTAACAGTTACAGTCGCTGTAGTCAGAGATAGAGCCTATGTGTGTGCGCGTGCGTGTGTATTTGTGTGTGATGGAGCACAATGCGAGCAGTGACACTCATTATTCCATCTGCAGCCGAGAGTGATTGAACACGCCACATATTAACTGTCTTTTTCCTCTTAATCCCATTGTGTTCTGCGAGATTAAATTTGAACACTAATAAACGTTTTTTATGACTAATTAATGTCTCGCACCTTGCCAAGAATCATTCTCTTCCTCTGCTAATTCTAATTGGTCCAATTAATCATGCAAAAGGTAATTAGCATAGTTTGATGTGCAGTAAAGCCACTCGGCAGAGCCCACAGGGGGATTTGGAGAGCTTTTGTTTCTCGATACAAACAGAAAATTAGTCAAGGGTGGTAGGCGCTTGATGCTGAAGCACAGAGCAACACAATACTAATGAGTGTGTTCCATTGTGAGCCTCTTTATGGGACTGACAGCCATATTCAAACCAAAGGCAGATGTACGGTGCAAGTGAATGAAGATTGGCCGTGGCTGCCGGAGAGATCTAGAGATTTACAGTGAGAAAGGCCGCTCTTTCACACACAGACACACTCTGAGTCAGGAGCTTATTCCTGGGTATAAATAGATTTTCAAAGGTCTCCTTGCAGTAGCCTATAATAGACATATATTGATCTAGATTTTTTCTTCTGTGCACGCCGGTCTCTCTTCTTTTCAAATAGGTAAGTGAAAACTTTTAAGAAATTCCAGGATGGTATTTTTGGACTTCTATTGACAGCGAAAAATCAATTTGAGAGCCTTTTTATTTTGTTTTCATTAACACAGCCTCTTAATGCCTATTTAACTGATTTGATCACTGTTCCCTCTGAGCAAACAGAGGTGTAAATAAGCCGCCGGTTAAACAGAAGGAAAGGACTGTATAGGAAAACAATCAAAGTGGGATTTTATTTGTAGAAGAGAACAAACAATATTGAAAAACCTCAGACAATTATACATAATATTATGAAAAACTGAAGAACCTGACACCTCTGCCAAATTGATGGACATTTCCTCTGCAGGGACTAAAATTAGACTCATTTACCAGTAGCTGTGACAGACGCGTTCAAAGTGTCTAATTTTATGTTTTCCAATGTATTTTTTTTTAAATATTTTAACTTTTTCATGTTATAACATCACATAAAACGAGCGTACAATGACAATTGAACAGTCCGGCACCAAGAACATTTAATACACATCATTTAATACACATGAACAGTGACACTCAACTTTTATGTCTCACTCAAGGAAAATGTAATTAATTATTATTCCTTATTTGACATTTTCCTTTCCAGATGAAGCCTAAATTCACAGGGTTCACAGCGTCTATGACGTTCCTATGAGGGAAACTCTAAAATCGTCAGTAGTCCTTTTAAAGCTCCTGTGGAGGTTTTTTTTTACTTTCATCAAATAGACTGAGATTGATGTTGATTCTATTTTATGATATATGTCAGCAAATAAGACCATTAGAGACAAGATTAGCAAACTAATTTTTGTTATTTTTACTGCCTGAAACCTGTGCGGGAGGGTAGGTGTCGGCCAACCAGCTGAAAAAAAAGTCTGTTTTTTCCATTTGTCACACCCAATATTTCTGATAAATGGCACATTTGACTGTCAAAAGTCATAATGATGGGATTTTTCCCTTCACAATGGGTGCCAGAATTAACACAAACACAAAGTTCCTCATAGAAGCTTTAAGATTTAAGTTTTTTTTTGTTTTCTGGGAGGTGCTAGCATCACTTTAGATAACATTAGATTTTCCAAACCTGTAAAATATCTCTAACAAACAGAAAATCATCTTTAGAAGCTAATTTTTATCAAAAAATGGCCTAAATTACATAATATGAAGCCCAAAAAGGACAAACAACTACTCTGTTTAACATTTATCTTCCTGTGATTATCAGGTCATCTTTAGTAGCCAGCGTCTGATCCAGCAGAGGGCGCTCTTATCGTAACCTGGCTAGTCCATGCACTCTTGACCTCAGTTAGCAAATGTAATGAGGATATAATCAAGCAAAGCAGCGCTAAACTGAAAACAATGATGCCAAAACATCTGAGAAACGCTCAGTGGAAGAACTTTGGGATCTACACAAGAGGCTGTACAGACAAAATTGGCCTTTTCTACAGTTTCTATCAAGTTTCCATCCACCGATAAAGAAACCCTTTCTTGCATTAGAGACTAGAGGTGTCATTCATATTTGCACAGGACTTTGGACACTATAGTCACAAACTTAATGAGACCTGGCCTCAATATTAGGATGTTTTCAGGCCTGTTATATGGTATCCTGTAGAAATGTATGGACTTCTGGGTTGATTTTCTTCAGTGCACAGACATGAGAGGATATGAGGAACTGAACCCCCAGAAAACATCACAGGACAGTATCAGATATGTAGCATAAATGAGTATTGAGTCTCATGTATTAATGGCAGAAACATATGGATGCTGTTGTCTGATAATGTTACAGGTTTACTCTCAGGTGGTTTGTTCTCGTTCAAAAGCGGTTAACAACGAACATCAGATCTCCAAGAATCGTGGGAGCGTGGGATCGTCCACTTTACATTTCCAGTGCAGAACTATTTTTACAAGACAACCACGTCTCTTAAAACGTATTTATAGAGTATGTTATGTAATTACATCTGTATGGATATGAGGTTGCTGTAGAAGAGTCGTGTTTAACGGACATGTTAAAGAAGGATGTCTTAATTCTAGTAAGGGAGTGAATTTTCGCCCTTTATTTGGCGATTATCAAACTAGTGGGCTTTAAACACTCTGAGTAAATCTGGGATCAATCTGTCCTCTTGGATTTTTTTACCCTCCTAATGATCAGATTGGCAAACATATGTCTCTTTACTTTTTCGCTTCACCATGTCAGCACTTATGAATGCACTTAACTCATTAAATCAAACAAAAGCCTCTGCTTCAATCTCATCAAACTCATTTACAAATTAAAACAAGAACATTTCACATCAGATAAGGAAAATTCAGCACTACTCTTGTCTTTTTTTTCTTTTTTTTTTTTGTACAATCCACATTCCTCCCCCGCACATTTCTTATCTGCTCTTTTATCTTTCTGCACCACAAAATCTATGCACACTGAAAGTGTCAGCGAAAAAAATAGCTGGTCTCATAATATCATTCCACAAGCCGAGGTTGATTATGATAGTGAAATTGGCAGCAGGGCGTGGAATATCCCTGTGGTGATTTTCCAACTCCAACTCATTTCACAGACCGCCTCGAGGTCCTGATCTCTGGGAACCCGGGTCGACGAGGCTCTGGCCCTGCCTGTGCTGCTGCAGCTGCTGATGTCTTCATCGCCGTTTCACAGACTTTTTACGTGTTGCTCTCGACGCTGCAGCACCGAAGGGACCTGTGCTGCGACGGGGAAGTGATGCAACCACAAATTCATGTAAGAGCGGCTTGAAAACACACTGACACTGTGGTTTGCTGACCTCAGAGGAAGGAAAGAGACAAAGAGAAAGAGAGAGCGATATACACGCAGGGGAAAAAAAAAAAAACAGAGACGGTGAGCAGAGAGAGAGAGTGACAGTTTTTCAGGTGGTCAAAAGGTCTAAATGTCAGGTGGTGACAGTTTACAACAAGAATGTCAAAGATGTGTTGAAGATAATTGTGCAAGAGTGTGGTTTTTGTTTCTCATGCATCGAGCCGAGCTCACAAAACACCACCGTTTAATAAAAACAGGTCTAATTGTACTCAACATAAAGCAGGTAAAACAAACCAGACTGCTTAATTCCATCCTTCACACCGAAAATCTAATTGCTGCTGCCAAAATATTTGATTTTAAGTAAATTAGATCAGTAGCGAAAAAAAAAACAGTCTTGGTAAATGGAGCTTTATCTGTAAGTCAAGGCCATTAGCAGCCTGAGTCTGAGTTGCCCTGGGCTCTGTAATTAAGTCCGCTCAAGCGCAGCTAAACATTTTTGACATTTTTCCTAGTCCAGAATTAACTGTCACAGCAGAGGGAGAAAGTAACCATCTTGTCACATTGAGTTTATCTGAGGATTGTGAAATGCTCTCCTCTTCTCTTCCTCCTCGCTCGCTCTCTCTCTCTCTCTCTTTGCCTGTGTCTCTCAACAACACACTCACACACACACACACACACACACACACACACACACACACACACACACACACACACACACACACACACACGCATACATGCACCCAACCTAGATCTCATTTCAGTGATGTTTCATGATGAGCGAGATGATGGAAAGTGTGACTAGACCTTAATGTTTTGAATGTTTGGGTGGCGCCGTCATCAGGTTACATTACTCTGCTAATTCGAGGGCAAATGTATACCTCAAGCTTGTATGTATATACAGTATATTGTATTATATTATATTATATTATATTATATTATACTGAATTTCCCTTCAAGGATAAAGTTTGTCTTATCTTACAGTATAGAGCTCAGGTCTGGAGTTCATCTCAGAGGTCATCTTGAAGACTTAAAAAACAGGCAACTGGACTGTCCAGTTGCCTGTTTTTTAAGTCTTCAAGAAAACCATGACCTGGATAAATGAGAATCTACATGGACATCTCGGAGGTCACATGAGACCATAAGAAAACTCCCCTAAAGCCGCCAACATCGAGGAAAGAGTATTTTTACATTAAAACAAGCTAAAACAAGTCTGTTTGAATAGTCGTCCTCTCAGATGTTTTCCCAGATCTTCAGACTGTCTCTGCAGCTAAAGGCAGAAATTCTACCTCATTACCAGGAGAAACCTGTTCATGTCTCACTTAGCACACAGCGCTTTTTATAGTTCATTTGCAGTAAGCTGTAGTTTCTACGCAGCAGATTTACGTGACATTAGTAATATTAGCTGAGTGTGAGAGCTGTAGGGTCCTTTACCTTACTTTTAATATCCTTCTCCCCTTAACCCAGTCACTTTAACAATCAGGGGTGAGGATAAGAGGACAGGAAAGGACTTAGGAGGTAATTTTTTGGTCTTTCAGATGCACCTTAGGTTACAAAACATCTACGAAGACTAGGGATGGTAGAAAAAATTGATCCAGCATAGTATCACAATGTTTTGTCTGGTGATATATCATATCGTCTCATTTACCAAGTATTGATTGTTTCAAATTAATTGCTAATATTTAGTCAAATGTAATGGAAAAAAAAAATCAACTTTTTGTCAAGAGAGGTTGGCAAAGGTGACATTATAGAGCAGGAGAAAGTTAGTACAACAAATATATATAAAAAGGTTTACAAGATGTGCTACATGAAAATAAAATACAGCATAATAAGACAAAATAAAGACAAATGCTAAATTAGCTAAACAGTTGAAAAATTGGTATAAATCGCAATATACTGTATTGCAAAATGTTAAAAATCGCAATAATATCGTATCATGGCCCAAGTATCATGATAATATTGTATCGTGGGGCCACTGATAATTCCCACCCCCAACAGACACTATCAAAAAGACATTCAAAAATGGTCCAAAAGTAAAAGTTTTTATCGATTTTGATTCAACGTCTTTGTTTATACCTGATTTTACTTGAATAAAGGCTTTTGTAGCAAGATACATGACACATTCACACTCATATTATCAGAAACTTTAAAGCCACCTTCATACATATAACGGCTAAAATTACAGAGCAAATGAACAGAATATCAAACATGCTTAAACCAAAATTAATCATGGATGGATGTCTGCACACAAGTCCAGCATTCATTAATCTACATTATTCTTATGCCCACACATTCATTGTAAGCTGAGTTAGCACCCTTTAGCTTTAGCATCCTTGAGCTTTAAATGTACCATGGTAAGTGTGAACTTTGTGGTTTTAGCCACACACAAACATGCTGCCCAGAGTTGGTGTGTAAGAACAAGGAAACAGAAAAATGAGTTGTCTCGTGAGAATGGAAACACCCAAAGTAGTGTGAATAAGTACCACACAGTTTGGCAATTCCCAAACAGTTCAGGTACAGCTGGTTTCCAGTTAATGATTGTTTTTCTGTCATCAGCAATACAATAAGTATGACGCCAAATTTTGGTAGACAACCACACACTCGGGGGAGGTTAAATATTCAAGTTTTTCTTAATGCTGCTGAGAGGAATTTTTGATTTGATTTCCTAATTTCTTGCTCTGTCCACTTGTGTGCCCTCCACAAATAAAAGCAATAAAAGCTCAAAAATGAAATTAGAAAAGAAACTCCTTACTGTAGTTTTGAAAATATGATAATTTAATGAATAAATGATTGAAAATGATTAATCGGCAAAGCACTTATCACAGAATTTAAGAATGCACCGCAGCATTATTACGTTTTTGAAGCTTCATTAAAATTGTTAAAACTATTATTCCAGATTGAATTTAGTAAAGGTCCTTCTCTTCATATTTCTATGACCTTTTTTTAATCTGTCTTTTTTTTAATTAAACAAGCTTCAAAAATGAAGTAGAAATGAAGCAGAGATGAAAAAAGATGAAAAATATTCACCATCAGCAGACGATAAAAAAGTACTAGAGAGAGTATCTTGTTTCAAAAAGCAGGAGGAAACAAACAAATATACATAAAATAAAGTTTTATTAAAAAACAGATTAGCTTTTTTTCATACAGTTACACACATCTACACACACACACAGTCATAAACAGTATTTACTAATATGTAAATCCTGTTCGTTAATCAGCTACCCAAAACTCTCCCCTAGATATGACCTCCTTATGAGTCACGAAGGCTTTCCTGTTTAGAGAGTTTTGCTTGAGACGTTGTTTAGTTTGACTATCATAGTTTTTTAGCCTCCTGACTGAATTCAGGATTCAATATCTAGAACAATCTTGGCATGCAGTGATGTAGTGATTTATTGAGTTGTATTAAAAGTTCACCTTGTTTGACCGCCGTCCGTTTTTCCTGCTCAGTCGCAAAAATAGTCCTCAGTTTTCACAAAGCTTTTATTCAAAAATCTGGAAACTTTGTAGTGGTGTACCATCCTGACTTATTACCTGATCATGCTAAATACTTAATTCTGATTGGTTTAAACTCCCTGACAATGGTAATTAATTCTCATTAGCAACCAATCACACAGCTTGTATCAAATCAATCTGTGGTAAAAAGTTTAGCGTATATCATATGTGCTTGTTGACACTGTGGCAAAAATGTTAGCTTCTGATAGCGCCCTAAATGGATGTAAACAAACTTTGTGGCAGGCTGGTACACAACATTCAAACTAAATCTTTAGCCAGTTCGTTAACATGCATCGTTACACTAGTTTAACTCGACTATTGCCTTCACCCCAGTTTAAAGGCACCGTACAAGAATACATTTATTGACAAAAGTATGTCTGCTTCTACAACAGTCGTTGGTAATGCACCCTTTTTCTAGACCCTAGCCTATCAAGTCACATACCAAAACAATCAACAAACACGGCAGCAGAAGGCTAACAGGTTAAACATCACATAATGAAAACTCAGACTACCTAATCGCTCTGATACGACAGATTTGTCTTTTTCTTTCATCCCTTTTTGTTCTGTCAAGTTTTAGTTCACTAATCGTCTTCCTTGCATTTATGCTGTTAAACTTCTGGGTCTGACATTTAGACCATGAAGCACTTGAACAGTTTCAGTCTGATTGAGGTGTATATGCAAGAGAAAATCTAACCCCAGTTTTATTAGTCAGGTATCCGTCTTTAGGGAGTTCAATCTAGTGGGATTTCAGTCAGGCTAGTGTGTTTACATGCATTTCAAAAGTCCAGTTTAGGTAGGGTGACCATACCGTGGCCTCTTTTTGGGGGCTGTCTGGCCTTGTCCGGGGGAGTTTTTAGAATCCTTCAAATGTCCGTGGTTTTGTATGGAAGTTTTGAGTTTGTGTCACGTGGACTATCTGAGTTAGAGGCGTGTAAAAGACACTCAACCCGACCCGAAAAATTCTCAAAATTTACTATGCGCGACTCCACAACTCTGCCCCGCATAGTAGTGTCCTCTTTTTCGGGATTCAGAATAGGATCACCCTAGTTTAGGTCCGACTGACTCAAAAATTAGATTTTTTGAACAACATGTAAATGTCAGGGGTCCTGCTCACCCCATCAAGACTCTACTTTGCAGAATCACTTTATCTGATTTAAAATCAAGGACCTTCTTTGTTAAATATAGGTCAAGTAAAAAAGGAAAAGGTTAAATTTTATGGGCTTGTATTTTTTTGGGGGGTATTTTAAGTTAACTTTTTCATTTGAATCAACTCAATATGTGTTGAAGAAGAGAGAAATCACTGGTTGATCTTTCACCTGGTTTATCTTTTAGATGGTGAAATGAAAGTTACCAAAGATAGTCTATTCAAACAGCCCGGTTGTGTAAGAGAGTTTCCAGACTATTCAAGAGCTTTTTTAATGAAAGTAGAGTCGACCTCAGACTATCACCCACACACATTACTCATCAGTCACAGAAACGACCATTTCTACTAAGTTTCATTTATTGAGAACAGAGAGTTTTCTCTCAGTCCATCTAACCTGCATCACATACAAGGTGGGGTGTGTGAAAACCACATGATAAAGTCATACCAAATACTACTGAAGGAAAAGTCTCCGGTCAATATGGTGCAAATTCCCCCTGATGAACACACGTTACACCAATCACCACGCGTTAGCTTTTCAGTCGTCCACACGCCATTACTCTGCGCTGTAATTATACCACACATTCCATATATTACTTTGAATGAAAGAAGTCCAATTACAATCCTTTTACTCTGTCTCTCACTGTGCTGCCTGATTCCTCCATAAAAGTCTGTGATTAAATTACTCAGGGGAAAGCACTCACATTTTATATGACAAGCCCTGACGCATCGCTCAGCCACGAATTCCCCGACCGGCAGCAAATCTTCTGAGCGGCTCCGACTGCGGACAGGTGGGTCCAGATGACGGAGGGAGACAGAGAGACACGTCCTTCCAGCTTTACGCCTTCTGCTATTATTCTCTGTCTGTTCCTCTTGATATAGAGCTAGCTTACCTGCCATACATATTGTATCATCTGACAGGAACATTAAGAAGAGCGTCACTTCATTTCTGGCATTCTGTTTCTTTCTGTTGAGCTGTCAAAATGTTGAGAAACACAGTGCTTATCGTCTTGTAAGAGTGTAGGGGCTCTCCAGACAAAATCATAGCCAAACACAGGTTATTCAGGTGTTTTTACTGTCTGTTTGAAGTCGTTTTAGCACATGTAGCAGTGCCCTTCTTTCAATTTAAACACATTCAGAGGCTTAAAATGAATCTACATTCACTACCTACTCCTACGGTTGTCTCTGAGGCTGAAAATTCCCTCATCTGAGATGAGTGTCTGCTGCAGACTGTGGGTGTTTCTGTACTGATCAACAGTGGTCACCGTGAGAGAAACTCTACAGACACAGCACAGTAAGAAGTTAACATAACACCCGAATGCAAGTTTATTTAAGAGTTTTATTCCCCAGACGTCGATGTATGGGAGTTACTTTAGGCAAACAGTGTGAAAAGTAGGGCTCCAAAACAAAAATTCCCCTCGTATTTATAAGCAGAAAAAATTCACAAGTAACGCTGGAATGTGAAATGTGAGTTCTGGGAAGACATGGGCAACACACACACACAAATACACACACACAGAGGCCCCTTCAGACAAGAAAGGAAACCTCGACTTGTCAATCACATCACTCCTCTGTCAATAGATGTCTAATCCTCTGTTGAAAGCTGGTGGGCGCTGGATAGAGAGACAGACAGGAGGTTAAAGGTGAAGTGGATGACAAATCAAGCCCCTAAAAAAACTAAAAGAGAGTTTTCCGTCGTCTGAGCAAAGTCGACTGAGAGGTAAGGATCTTATTGTTTCATCTTTTTGCTACATTTTTTACTCGGCGTGTGAAGGGTGGTCTGGGTGGAAATGTAACTGAGAGAAAAATGCAAAGTTCCACTGATCAGCCTCTGCAGATGATATAAAATGTTCCTACCTCTTAGATCAGAGCATCAAAAAAGAAGCAGAATTTAATAATAATTAAAATAGTAACTTATTTACAACACTTGTCCAAACGTACAAAGCCCCACATACGTCCACAAACAGTTTAAAAAGAGATCTAAAAAAATTAAAAATGGCATGAAAATAATTCAAGAGTGACAACATGCATCTAAAACATCCTCAGAGATTCAAAGTTTGTTTATAGGATTATTTTTAAGGCTTTTCAGGCATTTAATTAGGGGACAGGATAATGGATAGTGTAGGAAACCTGGAAGAGTGAGAGAGTGGGCAAAGGGCTGGAAGGACTTGAACCCGGGTCGATCCAGGACTGTCACATCTGTGTATTATGTAAGCAATTCATCTGCTAAGTCAAACCAGCAACCCAAAAGAATTCATTTATTTGTTTATTAAGTTCGGTTGTCAGGGTGGTAGCTATGACAGTGGTAGAACAGACAAAAAGGTGACAAAAAAAATCAACAAAACACTATAAAGTGAAATTAAACCAAAATATAACACTCTGTAAAATCAATACTAAGTTCTCCATATATCTACTGTGAGGTGATTTTACTAAGTGTGAAACAGCCTCTTAATCACTTACTAACCAGACCATCAGCAACAAGATCGGTTTTGTCTATATCATCACTTTACTGCCTGAAACCTCGTCTGTGGGGTGAGTATCAGATGAAGTGAGTCTGTTGAAACAGCACTTTTCAGATTCTCACAGCATAATTCTTAAAGACTGACTCATTTATATTTTTATGGTGGAAAATTTTGGTCAAAATCATGACTGACATGAGTAAAGATAAACCAAGTGAAGCGGTATCAGTTTGTCCGTATGAGTCGCTGAATTTGACACAAACTGAAAGTTACACTTTTTGGAATTATGAGCTGATTTAAGTTTCTCCTAAAGCTCCTTTTTTGATAAAACAGACAGAAATTCATACTGATACCTTGTTATGAAACCAAACAAGACCGTCATAAGAAATCCAAATATGATTTTTATACCCTAATTTTTAACGCCTGAAACTGTTTTGACGGTTTACGTGTCTGAGCAGCTTAAGAAAAAGTCCTGTTTTTTACAATTTCTACACTAATTGATAAAACTGTCTGTCAGATGTTGGCAAAATTAGGGTTGTTTTAATAATAGACAAAGGAATAATCAAAAGTTCCTCTAAGGAGCTTTAAAAAAAACTTCCTGTCATATTTAGTCCAAAACATTTTGCTGTACTAAAAAAAGTCCTTAATAACTACAACAGAGTATTAGGGCCACATTACGAAAAAAAACCCCGAAGACTTTGAGATTAAGTCGCTAATTTACGTGAATAAAGTCTTTACTTACGAGGATAAAGTTAAAATAAAGTCATTATGATACTTATGATAATGTGGTACTGATGTGCCCAAAGATTAAGTATCTCCTTGTTTAAGAAACTTATATTGAAGTATAATTTCACAAAATGCTCCATGGCTCCTATTTCAACAACTGTCATCTTAAACAAACGGGTTAGAATAAAAGGACTTTATTCTGACTTTATTTGTGTTAGTAATAACAGTAACGCTTTCTTTTACGGTACACTTATTACCAGGTAATTAACAGGTAATTACCTAGTAACAACATGAAATTATCTGGTAATTACATGATAAGTACTAAGTCAATAATCATCATACAAATTTGAAGCCGAATTGCTCTGGTATTTCCAGGATTTTCTCCGCTTCCTGGAACCCCCACTTGCGCAGTAGCATTGTACGCATTCGGCGGGTGAGTCGCTATGCTAACGCTCGGCTCAAACAGCGTATCGCTACGCAATCTTCGCACGCCCATAGGCTGTATCAAGTGTCAATCATAGAAAATAAGAACCCCAAATAGCTTTTGAAAATGGAGCTGCACAGAAAAAAGAAAAAAAGAAAAACTAGACAGTATTGACTTAGTAATTATCATGTAATTACCAGATAATTTCATGTTGTTACTACCTGTTAATTACCTGGTAATAAGTGTACCGTAAAAGAAAGCGTTACAATAATAACTTTATTCTTGCAAGTCAACGACTTTCATCTCAAAGTCTCATTTTGTGGCCCTTATACTCTGTTGTAAATAACCTCTAGAAAACATATTGAGTTTAAATTAAAATGTAGTTTTAATGCACTACTATAAGTAAAGGACCTTTAAACTGGATTTAAGTCAGGCTGATGTAAAGCAACACAAAGAAGCATATCTAGTCTTGTGTCATAATGTTTATCAGTATTCTGTATTGCCTTTCCTTCCAGGTCACATTCACGTCATCCCAGATCAGTCATAACAGGCAGCAGATACGTTTCTTTCTACTCTGTATGTCTGGAAAAAAACAGAAACAGTACAATCAATTTCAGTTCATGTGTGTGTATAAACAAATCATAATGAAATGAGAGCAGTGAGGACAATGCACTCCTTGCCAACAAAAATACATCCGAGCTTATATAAGCCTCATCATCGCCATGACAACGGCTTTACTTGGTAACATGGAGATGTATTTGTGTTTATAACCACAGCAATGTCTTCCAATTGAATTAAGCTGCACCTGTGCACATTATGGATGGAAATAATAGACTGAAAGCAACTGTTCCTGCCAGCCTGTTGCTGACTAGATATGAGACTGTTTGATTCTGTGATGTTTCCAACAGCATTGAGAGCACCTTTTTTTTCTCCCCCTTTCAGATGACAGAATAAAAAGATTAATTAGCTGATAGACAAAAAGTGATGGCTGGATAACGATGGTTTTATTTTTCTGGCATCAATTTGCACCGTGCTGTTAGAAAAAGTGACGAAAGCAGATTGTTTCACATGTCAGAGAGACCCCTGATCTTTAGTTAGTCACCTCTTACAAGTCATTTGGAGATTAATTTATCATCATGATAAAAACTTGGCTTGTTTTGAACTGACAGGCTGTAAACAAGTCAAATAAATACATCTGTATCTTTAACAAAAGCCTGATATACAACAAGGGAAAACATTCAGATCAACAGCTTCCTTGTGAATTTTTACCGGTTTTATTTACCACTGGGAAACAAACTAATCACCTGATTCCTCCAAAAGGCACCTGAGCTCGGTTGCATCCTGATCATATTCAATATGAATGACTGGAAAATGTATAAGATGAATAAGACGTGGTAAGGACAGGCCCCTCTCCGGCTGTTCTGTGGAATAATTGGAGAACGTTATGCCGCTTCTGTCAATACAGTTTCTCAGAGGGTTATGATGAATATTTATGATTAATTCAGCTTTCTGTAATAAATATTTGATGCCACTTCTTTCACAGAGCCGGTTACATAGAATAAGGGTTCAAAAGGTGATTAAGAGACTAAGACGAGTCCATATGCTACATCTGTTTAGTTGTTCAATGTAGAAAATAAATCTCAGATTTTTACAGGTGGGAAAAAAAAATAGATATATGTTTGGCGTGACAAATGCAAATGGCTAAAATGGGCAGAAAACAGCGGAATAACTCTTTAATCGTGCATTTGAGAAAAAAGTCCCAAGTGCGTAAAGTCAAAGATCTCATTAAGATACACGAGCCTGTGACATTTTGGGCAGAGTGGAAAAAGTTGATGTTCGTGGCGCTCTGTCGTTGGTGCTAAGGAGCCATTTTTTATCGCTTGCTTTGAGTCACTTAAAAACATTGCCTTCAGATTTTAGTGAGTTTTCAAGGTCGTTCAGGGGGTCAAATTTGTGTTTTTGGAGCCGTAAAATAGTAACAATAATAATTAGAGAACTTTCTCTGTCATAAGGACAAAGCAGTCCCACCAAACACCCAACGTCATTTAGACGTCTTTTTTCAGGCGAAATCATGCCGGTCCATCATCGCTGATATTTAGCTTCATTAGGACGGTTATTTAGACGTATGGTGTGGACGTCTTTTCAACCCCTTTTTGCTGGGTGGGGTCTTCCTTAACCTTGTCCTCTTCATGCTTGAGTAATGATTTTGACAAAAGTCTAATCCTTTCCGTTGACGTTTCAAACTGTATAAACAATACTTTTTCTTAAGCCGTTTGGCCCCCCCTCACACCACTTTCAGGTTTTAAGAATTAGGATATAAAATCTCCAGTCTTGTCTTTGATTGTCTCATTTGGTTTTGGACATCATGAAAATGCATCAACGTCAAAACTCTTTTTTTTCCCCACACATCTGGAGGCGTCCAGAGCACTCTCAGAAAATGATAATTCCTTTATGACAAAATAGCTAATGAAGCTGAAATATCAAGAGTAAATGCCGAGTCGAGTTGAAGTA